GAAGACTCAGCATAAGAAAGACATGGAAACAATGAATGCCCAACAGAGGAAAGAAATGGAATCCATAAAACAGATTCAAACAGATATCCAGGAGATTAAAAACTCTATTGAAAGTGTACGAAACAGAATAAAAGATTGCGAAGATAGAATTTCAGATATAGAAGATAGGATAGCAGTCAGTGACCGTGAAAAAAGAGGTCTATTAAAAACAGTAAGGGATCATGAGAAATCAATCCAACAACTCCTAGACGATACAAAGAAAAATAACATAAGACTGATAGGAATTCATGAAAAAACAGGAGAAAACACAAATGATATAAAAAAGCTCTTCACAGAATTAATGACAGAAAACTTCCCAAACAGAAGGGAAGAATTAGACATACAGATAAGTGAGGCATATAGAACCCCAACTAGCCACGATCAAAAAAAATCTACACCTAGACATATAATAATCAAGATTCCAGAAATCCAACAGAAAAACAAAATACTACAAGCAGTAAGAGAAAAGAAACAAATCACATGCAAAGGGAAGCCCATTAGAATCACAGCAGACTTTTCAACACAAACCCTTAGGTCAAGGAGAGCCTGGAGTGAGGTATTCCAAGTCCTAAAAGAAAAGAATCTCCAACCTAGACTTTTGTATCCTGCAAAACTCTCTTTCAAAATAGATGGGGAAATAAAATACTTCCACGACAAAGAGCACCTGAGAAATTTCATGAACACCAAACCAGCACTGCAAGGAATTCTAAACAATATCCTAGAAAAGGACAACGAAATTCACAATAACATGAGGCCCAACAGACCAAATCAAATAGGCAAGGCAAGAAACTAAAAGGAGATGGGAGAAAAAGTAAAAAGAGTCAACAAATGGACAAAAACATGACAAGAATAAGTCAAAATATATCAGTTGTAACCATCAATGTTAATGGCCTCAATTCACCAATCAAGAGAAACAGATTGGCAGAATGGATTAAGAAGCAAAATCCAACAATATGTTGTATACAAGAAACACACCTAGTGCAAAAGGAAGTCCATAGACTGAAAGTGAAAGGATGGAAAACAATTCTCCATGCGTCAGGAGTCCAGAAAAAAGCAGGGGTAGCAATCTTATTCTCAGATAAAGTAAATTTCAAACCAAAACTCATTAAGAGAGACAAAGAAGGACACTACATCCTTGTAAAGGGAACAATTCAAGAGGAAGAGCTGACAATCATAAACATATATGCACCAAATATAAATGCCCCCAACTATATAAAACAAATATTAAGTAACATGAAAAACCAAATAAGCACTAATACAATTGTAGTGGGGGATTTAAATACCCCACTATCACAAATTGACAGATCTACTAGGCAGAAAATCAACAATGAAATAATAGAACTGAACCAAGCTTTGGAACACATGGACTTAATAGATGTTTATAGAGTATTCCACCCCCAAAAACCAGAATATACATTCTTTTCGGCTGCACATGGATCATTCTCCAAAATAGACCACATACTGGCTCACAAAACAGGTCTAAATAAATGCAAAAAAATTGAAGTCATCCCCTGTTTATTATCAGATCATAGTGCAATCAAACTAGACATCAATAGCACAAGAAACTATAGAAACTTCACAAGCACATGGAAACTGAACAACACTCTCCTAAACAATCAATGGATTACAGAGGAAATTAAAGAAGAAATTAGACAGTTTTTACAAATAAATGAGAATGCCAATACAACATACAGGAATCTTTGGGACACAATGAAAGCAGTTCTATGTGGAAAATTCATAACATTGAATGCCCACACCAGGAAAACAGAGTGGGCTCAAATAAACAACTTAACGATGAAACTCAGACTACTAGAAAAACGAGAGCAAGAAACACCCAAAGCTTGAACAAGAGAGGAAATTATAAAGATCCGAGCAGAAATCAATGCAATTGAAATTAAGAAAATGATACAAAAAATAAATGAAACAAAGAGCCGGTTTTTTTGAAAGAATAAATAAAATCGACAAACCCTTAGCTATCTTATCAAAAAAAGGAAAGAAAAGGCTCAGATCCAGGCAAGTA